CTCTCTCTCTCTCTCTCTCTCTCTCTCTCTCTCTCTCTCTCTCTCTCTCTCTAACTCCCCAGGGACCCTCCAGCGTCAGGTTTCTTACTATATGTGAAAGAGTTCTACCTCTCTCCCCCCTTCTCTCAGTGTTTGTCCAGTGTACAGACCCACGGCACACCGGTGGCCTCTAGTCCCCTTAGCCTGTAACTTTGATCTACACTGATATGCTCTCCTTTCTCTTCTTCCACATTCACTACCTTCTTCCCTTTCTACTTTGCCCATCTGAGCCTCACTCAGGTTCTTTCCCTGTATCTGACACTCTTTCCATTGTTTCTTATAATTATTTCTTGTGGAGAGACTGTCTCCTTTACCAAAGAAGAATGTAGAGTATACTCACTGCAGATGCTTTCGTCTCAATTCTGGTTTTAAGATTAGATAGAAAATACTGGCTTAGAAGTTCTAAATCTGAGAGTTTCTAGTCTAGACTTGGAAATACATGTTCTGGGTTTCTTTAGGCTTAAAGGTGGGTGGGCTCGGCACACAGGGAGGGTGGCTGCAAAGCTTTTAGCTAGTAGGGGCTGGCCTGTGCCTATAGATCTGTCATTGTGACCATTGGGGTAAGTAGAACCATCTGATCTGTCTATCCCTCCCTCCCTCCCTCCCTCCCTCCCTCCCTTCCTTCCTTCCTTCCTTCCTTTTTTTTTTTTTTTTGCGGGGGGGGGGTGTAGGGGGGGTTTCAAGACAGGGTCTCTCTTGTAGCTCTGACTGTCCTAGAACATGTTCTATAGACCAGGCTGGCTTCAAACTGAGAGGTCCACCTGCCTCTGCCTCCAGGTGGTAGGATTGAAGGCATGTTCCACCACTACCTGGCATTATCTGTCCCCCTTTCTTTTTTTTCTTTTCCTGAGACGGGTTAACAGACAGGTTTTCTTTGTCCTGAAACATGCTTTGTAGAAACATGCTGGCCTTGAACTCACAGAGATCTGCCTGCCTTCTGAGTGCTGGGATTAAAGGCGTGTGCCCCCACCCCCACCCTATCTGTCTATTTTCTACTTGAGATTGTATGTTACTAAAATGTGAATGGCTAATCCATGGTTCTTTTGGGAAATGAGGGGAATGAATGAGTGAATGAATGAATGGTAGTTTTAAGTGGTGCTGGGGTAGTGTCATCATATGAACTCACTGTCAACAAATTTGCCTTCAGCTCACACCAAGGCCTTTTGGTTCATGCTGGCTCTGAGCCTGTGTCATGGTGGTCTGAGGGCTCATTATGATAGAGATTGACTAGTCAAATCCTAGTGTATGTTGAGGCTCTGGGAGTTTCTAGGCCAAAGATTTGCCCTCATTTGAGGCGGCTGTGGCAGGGAGGGGCTGCTCAGATCTTGTCAGTGCCCCATCTCCCCTCTGTCATCACTGTCCAGGGCATTTCTTCTTAGGATGATTAGTGTATGTGCTTCCTCCCCTGGGCTTAGTTCTTTTGCATCACAGGGACTGGGTCAGCATGGGAATCTTCTATTTAAGTTTACCTGAAGTCTGTCCAATGGGAGTGAGCAGAGCTAGCTCATAAAAACTGTGGTACTTCAGCAGTGTTGTACTCTACCCTTCCACTTGATGGGAAGATACCGATCCTTAGTCCTTGAGCTGGCTGTAGCAGTCAAGGGGTGAGGTGGCTGAGTGGCACTCCCTACAGACAGTGCATCATTACTGTTGGCAATGCAGGTTTGTTTATCTGTCTGCTGTGGGACTGGGGACTGAACCTAGAACTTTGCGTATGTCAGTACTCTGTCATGGAGCTTCCTGCTGCCTTCTCCTTTTTATATGTCTGGGTGTTTTGCCTGTATGTGTCTATGTACTGTCTGCATGCCTAGTGTCATCAGAGGCCAGAAGAGGGCATTGGATTCCCTCAGAACTGTGTTGTTAGCTTCCTTGTGGGTGCTGAGAACCAACCCCAGATTAGTCTGTAAGAATAACAAGTGCTCTTAACTTCTGAGCCATCTCTCCAGTCCCACCTTTAAGTTTATTTTAGTTAATTAGTTAATTCTGAGGTAGTCTCTCTACATTGTACTGGCTGCTCTGGAGCTCTCTATGTAGACCAGGCTGACCTTGAAATCACAGATCCAGCTGCCTCTGTGTAGCTGAAGTTTTTCTGGTCCCACAGCTGCTCAGACCCAAATGAACACACAGGCTTATATTATTTTAAAACTATGGCCATAGCAAGCTTCTTGCTAGCTAGCTCTTATATCTTAAACTAACCCATTTCGATAAATCTTGCCACATGGCTTGTGGCTTACCAGTACTTTACCCCTTGTTTTTCCTGGCAGCGGCTAGCAGTGTCTCCTGTTCTCTTTTTTTCTCTCCTATCTCTCCAGTTAGAATGTCCCGCCTAACCTTATTCTGCCTCACCATTGGCCAAACAGCTTTATTTATCAACCAATTAGAGCAACACATATTCACAGCCATCACCTCTGCCTCCCCAGTGCTGGACTGAAAGTGTGTACCATGGTGCCTGGCTCCACCGTCACATTTTAAACTGAGCCATAGCCCCTCCCCCAGACACAGTATCTCTTTTTGTGTAGCCCAAGCTAGCTGAAGATGACTTTGAACTCCTGATCTTCCTGTCTGGATCTTCCAAATGCTGGGAATGCAGATGTAGTGCCATTCATGGCTCCTTTTTGGCTTTTGTGGCAGGGTTTCACTTTGTAGCTGAGGCTAGCTTTGAAATGACTGCAATCCCGTAGCCCCAGCCTCCCTCCCTCCCTCCCTCCCTCCCTCCCACAGAGTCTCATGTGTCCCAGGCTGGCCTTGAACTTATATAATTGTGTGTAGCTGGAAGTTTCTCTGGTCCTGACTGGCCCAAGGTCAGATGAATCTCTCCCACCTGAGTCCTGCATCCACTTGGTCCCAAGTAAATGCACAGAGGCTTATATTATTTATAAACTGTATGGCCTATGGGTCAGGCTTTTCGTTAGCTACCTCTTGTAACTTATTCATCTGTATGTTGCCACGTGGCCATGGCATTACCAGTCTGCTGGCATCTTGTTGCTCCTTGGCGGCAGGCTGGTGTCTCCCCGACTCCTTTCTTCTCCTGTTTCTTCAGTTTGAATGTCCTGCCTAACCTTATTCTGCCTTGCCATTGGCCAAACAGCCTTATTATCAACCAATCAGAGCAGCACATATTCACAGCATACAGAAAGACGTTCCACAGTCTTGAATTCTTGGTCCTTCTGCCTTTACCTGTAGAGTGCAGGCTTATGTGGACTGGGGATCAAGCCCAGGGCATCAAGCATGCTAGGTAAGCATTCTGCCAACTGAGTTACGTCTCTAACCTCATAAAGGTTTGCTTCTGGGCTTTCGATTTGTTAAACAAGCTCTCTGTGGGTTCGGGTAGGGTGTGAGTGGCCTTCAGAGGACAGCTGTAGGACGTCAGTCCTCACCCGCCTTGTCTCATAAAGGTCCTTCTGTTCCTTTTTTGTTCTGTTTGGACTTTTTGGCCAAATATAGCAGAGCTTCTGACGATTCTTTTGTTTTCACCTTTATCTCTTTGTAGGAGTGCTAGGATTACAGACCCCTGTTCTGTGGCATTCGGCTTTCATGTGGGTTCTGGAGATTTGAACCCAGGTCTTGACACAGTGAGCACTTTGACTTACTGAGCTGCCTCCCTAGCCCAAGGGTCAGCCTTAATTCTGTTGGCACCCTCCGTTCACACCAGTGCTACACTGTTACTAGTAATGTTTGCTTCCTTTTTGTTCTGTTTCCTTTTTTTGGGGGAAAAAAAAAAGGGCTGGCCTAGCATCGTGTGTGGCCCAGACTTGCCTTGAACTCAGCAAGCCTCTTGTCTCAGCCTTGCAAATGCTGAGGTCTCAGGTGTGAACCACCACAGTCAGCTTACAGTACGTTTTTGAAAGCAGAAAATGTTAGCCTTCCAACTTTAGTCCTTTTTCCTCTTGATTTGGGTGAAGGTCCCTGGGAACATGTCCTGCTGCCCATGTTTTCTGTTTTTATATGTAACTGCATGCCTGGTGCCCACAGAGGCCAGAAGAGGGTGTCAGATCACCTGGAACTGAGGTTACAGATGGTGGTGAATGGAACTTG